AGAGCTCCGTCTCGCATTGCTTCGTGCGCCCTGGCGCTCAGCATGAGGCGCGCCAGCTCTTCGGCGGCTCGGAGGCCATCGCGGGTGCCGTGCAGTGCGACAATGTGGCCCTCTGCATCCAGACTTCCATCACGGGCAGCGCGCAGACAGAGCTTCGGCGACGGCTGCAAACTGCCCGCAGGGGATACTACAGCATGGGACGCTTCTGGTCGCGGAACCGCGTCTGGCGCCTGACGCGGATCGTGTTCGGCTCGGTCGTGCAGGAGGCGGCGCTCAGCGGGATGAGCGTCCTCGTGCTCAGCGCGGCGCAGCACCTGCAGCTCGACAGGGTCCTTTCCAGCTTGGGTCGGCGCTTGCTGTCGGGCGCTGCGTGTCAGAAGCTCCCCATCGTCGACAGCGACGGCAATCCGCAGTTCGATGCAGCTGGGAAGCCCCTGCTGAAGTACGAGGCCGTGACGGACGAGGCCGTGCTGAGGAGGCTCGGCATTGCCCCTGCTGCGACCGAGCTCCGCGTTCGGCGACTTCGCCAATGCCAGCGTTGGCTACGACGACCTGAGCGGCACCCGCAGGAGCTGGCGGTTGCCTTCGGGGAGTTGCCGCTCGAACGGACACCTGCGCTCGGTTCGGGCGGCTCCGTCTCGGTCGGGGCCAACCCGTACGCGCTGCGGTTCGTCGCGGACGTGGAGGCGCTGCTGGAGGCCGCCGAGGCGGCGGAGCTTCGCGAGGATCTGCGGACGCCTGGCGGCTCGCTGAACGTGATCGCGTTGTTCTCCTGCGAAGACCTGCGCGGCGGCTACCTGGCGCTGGACCCTGGCCTGCTGCGCGCTCAGGCGCGCACGGTGGCGATCCCGCCGCCTGGCTGGCGTCCGCCTGCTGCCGATGCGGGGGGGGGGGGGGGGGGGGGGGGCGCCGAAGTGGGCGGCCTGGGGCTGCGAGCTGCTGGACGCCGAGGGCGCCGCGTGCGGGCGCGAGTTCGCCATTCGGCGCGCGCTGATCGCTCACCAGCAGTTTCTGACAAATGCAGGCCATGGTTGTCGGTCCGTTCTTCACTCCATCGTCGTTACCAACCAATGCTCGTTCTGCTCCAGTGCCTTCAGGACTCGTCGGATTGCTCAGGAGCACGCGGTCGCAGCCTGTTTGAATCGCCGATGTCCAGTTCAGCGGTCGCCCTACTTCCACCAGGTTGAGGCGCCCCAGTCTCTGATGTGCCCCCCTGGCATCCATCGCGGTCTCAGCTCTCGCGCCGGGCTCCAGGTCCCTCGAGTTCGCATGTTCCATGGGAGAGCCCTTCGAGGACCCCGCGGCCCTGCAGGTGCACTTGCTCGAGCGGCGCGCGCCTCAGCCCTTGCCGCGGCGCGCCCCAGCGGGCGCAGGCAGAGCGCGTGGCCT